AACAACTAATGAACTTGGTTTAGAATTAAAACGTGTATTAGATATTTGTACAAGTCCACAATGTTCATCATCAACATTATCAGCTGATGAAGTAAATAGATTATAAAGAATTTCTTTTTTTCTTCATTTTGATTACTATTTTACTCATAGAGAAAATTATAATCATAACAAAAAATCTAATCACTATGAAATGTCTCACCCCCGAAAAATAGAATAGAATAGAATAGAATACTTATGTAATCGAATAATGAAATCATTTTAACTCGTATGAGCGAATTTTTATATCTCAAATTGCATGTTTTCAAAGTTTTACACTACTCAATCTTATAACATGATTCGATCAAATTATCATCAATTTTCTCCTTGATTAAATCTCTAACTATGTCGATTATTTCATCGATTAGTTTTCTATAAATAAATTAAATAGCTTATTAACCTTATTAGTTAAATATCTGAGTTTCCCAGTGAAAAATATTCACTGATTTCAATCGAATTTTGCTGCAACAAAATCAAAATTAAAATCGATTGATAATTTTGATTATTATTGATTATCACTTAACCATTACTTGATATTCTTACTTATTCAGTGTGGAATATTCTAATTAAAATCCATTATTTTGTAGCGAAATCGAGATTATAAATCGATTAATAATTTCGATTTTGGTGCAAAATAACGGATTTTAATCAGAAAATTCCACACTGAATAAGTAAGATTATCAAGTAATGGTTAAGTCATGATCAATAATAATCAAAATTATCAATCGATTTTAATTTTGATTTTTGTTGCAGAAAAATCCGATTGAAATCAGTGAACATTTTTCACTGTGTTGTACTCAAATGTCTGATCTGGCTAAAATCAAAAAAAAATTGTTTATCATGGATAAACTACGATTATGTTCTATTAAAACTTTAAAAGAAAAATATTTGTTAAAGTATTAAATAATTTCATAAGTAGATGATGAATTTGAAAAAAAAAAACACCAAATTATTATAAATTTTTCTTTTTAGCAATCACGTTTACAATCTCTTGATCATGCTGAATATTCTTATGATGCAAAAGCTAAAGAAACAACAACTAAAACAAGTACCACATATCAAGAAAAACAAGCTAATCAAACAAATAATACAAATCGTCGACATGCACGTTTAATAACAAATATTACCAATGAACAAGAACCACAATCACAACAACAACAGCAGCAACAAGAACAACATCAACAACAAGAAGAAAATGTTCATAATGAAACACCATTTAAAAAAAATCATAAATTACTTACATTTGAATCATTTGATGATTCTGTAAGACGTTTTCAAAGATTAAGAGAAATAAGAAAAAATTTACGAACAAAATATAATAATAGTTCACCAGCAGAATTTAAAGAAGATGAAAATCATCATTTAAATAATAATAATGTTACAAATAAAAAGACAATATCATCACAATTAACAAATCCAGATATAGTACAATTATATGATCAAGCAGCAAATAGTGTTAAAATTCGTGATCGAAAATATCGTTCAAGAACACTTGAAGGAAATCAAATACGTGCTGTTGATAACCAAATTTATGGATGTTCATCATCATCATTATCAAAAACCAAACAACAAACACATCATCGATCTGCATCACATAAACATCATTCTCATCGTTTATCATTTCGTCGTTCAAGTGATGATGTTCATGATAAAAAATTACAATTTCGAAGACATTTAAATTCTACGAATCAAAATTCAAATGAAACATGGTTTGAAGTTGAAAGAGAACATTGGACAAATTTATTAGAAAATGGTTGGAGACCAACTGTTGATACACCTGGTATTAATCATGTTACATTTACTGATGCAGGTAAAAAATATATATATATATATATTCTTCATTTTTAAAATTACTTATCTTTTATTTTATTTTTCTTGTTGAATTGATTAGATAATTATGAATCTCGCAAACATAAACAAGATGATAAAGATAATACGGTTATCGATTTTTATGAACAAGTATCACGAAATGAATATGTTTCGCTATTTGAACATCTTGATTTTGCTTATGCACGTACAATCGATTTGGGAAATGAATTTTGGCGTTTTCTTGAAATTAATGGAAATCATCATTTATGTCTTTATCATCAACTTAATAAACAATTTATTATGTATAAACCCGATAGTTCACTGTTATCTTTTCCATGGCCATATGATGGCATTGTTGATATATCATGGTCAATAGCAACAAATACATGGGCAGTGGCTACACAAACACAAATTGTAAATTTATTTGTTATATAAATAAAATGAGAAATTTATTTATTTATTTATTTATTAGATTATATGTAATCATTCATTTAGCAAAGTTTTACAATCAGTTGATATTAATGGTGATTGGCCAAAACGTATTACATCATGTCGATCATCTGTCTTCCATACATTCAAAATACCTGCATCTTCCATGGTACCTTCATCGAGTTCTTCATTTACTCGTTCATCATATAAAGATCGTCCTCAGTTTTTACTTGAACGTTATGATTATACATTAACTTCAATATGTAAACATATTCTTGAATCATCAACAATATGGGATGTTGAAGCTGATGATCTTACTGAACATTTAGCTGTTTTATGTGATGTTGCTTTACTTATATTTGATTATCAATTAAATTTATTAAGACAAATTGAAGTAACTGGATTTAAAGTAAGTAGAGATCATTTTGGTGGTTGGTTAATTGCTGATTATAATGCATCATGTATATGGCAAATAAGACGAAATGAATATTTGAAACCTAATAAAATTTTAAATGTTGAACGACCATGGTCTGTTATACTTGATCGAAGTATATGGACATTAGTTACATTAAGTGAAACACAAAATCGTGCTAAACGTTTATTATTTTTTACTATGAAAAATATTCCCACATCACTTGTATCAAATGATTTATCATCGGCACACTCTCAACTTTCGAGTTCATCATCTTCATTATCAGAATCTATGTTATAAGAAAACAGATTTACGAAATACAAAGTTTCATTTACATAAATATATACATATATCTGTTTATCTGTAATAATGAAATTCAGTTTTATTTTCGGTTTTTTTAAACTCTTTCTTGATTGTGCTGCTGCTGTTATTGTTGTTAACTTATTCTGCATTAAGAATAAGTATTTTTTTTTATAGCTTATATGACTGTATTTCGAATTTTTAAGGTAAACAGGATGGATTGGATGGAATTGAGAGTGAAAGACATATTCGAAAGAAAGTAAATTATTCATCGGTTTTTATTTATTTTTTAATCTTGATTGTAGAGTATAGAATAAACAGTTTTATTTATTTCATTATTTTTTGATTTATTCTCTATGAATTAAAAAAAGAACTTTGTTTTACTTTCATTAAATAATCATTTTCCAGAAAGGTATGTTCCATCTGCACAGTTAATGTCAAAGTTTCATCATTGATCTCATGTAAGGTGTCTGACATTTTGAAGCATTATTCACAATCCAAAAGTGGCCAATTTCAAGACAATATTAAACAGTTCAAAACGATTGTCATAAGTGAACGGTTTCAATTAATCGATCACTTTCTCAACAAAAATAATTGAATGATAGAGAATATGAATATGAGATATCGTGTTAGGTCTTTAGATACTGGTTTTCAAGGAAACCAGTGTTTCAGACTAAAAATAATTTGACTAAAATTGTTGTTTCAGATCTACTCAAATTATACGATACACTGCATTGTTTGTAAGATAATAATCTTGGTTGTTTTTCAAAAATGAGTCTTAAGTCAAATAACATCATCGTCAGAATTTTCACATTAACACACATTCTTATGTATCGACTGTATTGTTGACAAAAATGACTTCAAAAGGAAAAAAGTCATGTTATTGATGTAATCTTATATGCTCCCCAGGTAGCACAAGTATAAGTACAACAAGTAAAAGTATTTCACTTGTACTGTGAAAAATGTACTTATACTTTGAAAAAGAGTACTTAGTACTTACACCGAATGAGTCATAATGACTTCAATATCTAGTATCTTGCGAATTTTGAGAAGCCGATTACGGATTCGGGCTTACTGACCTCGAATATTGCTCGTCAAACTTGATGTAGAATGATTGGTTTCGACGAATAACTTTTATTTTGATAAACTTGGAATATTTGTATTACTCCGTTATCGTTACTTGATAACGGTAATATTATAAATTTCATCCTAAATCGAAGAAAGATCTTTGCTGTCAAGATACAACTTCGTTAGCTAGAGAATAACATGTACTACTTGTATTGCCCAATAGCTAATGCTAATAGATAGTATTCGCTCCATTTTTTTCTATCGACAAGTACATCTATATCCCATTAATTTTCAACAATCAACTAAACAATCCATGTTTGAACTAATAACTTTAAGAATTAAAACTTTCATGTCTGATATTTTAATGGATGAGCCGAAAGTTTTAAGACAAAATGTTTCTTCATTTGTCGTTCGATTATGATGGTCAGCAGATCTTATCAAATATTGATTTTAAAATCAAAATTTTGTGCCCTTTTCGAATATAGCTCGAATATTTTTATTAGACTCCTATTTTTGAAATTATGAGCAAATATTTGAAAAGCGTAAAAAAATCTTTTGGACGAAGATAGTTGCAAAAATAATTTTCAACCTAGCATCGATAAGAGCACAAAATTTCGATTTGAAACCGATATTTTACAATTTCCACTGGGCATCTTAACTGGTCGAAGAGCAAAGAAACTTTTTGTATTAAAAATTTCAGCCAATCTATTGTATGATAACCACACGAGTATCTTGTTCATAAGCTCTACTTAACACTTAGCTTTACTCTTTTTTTTAAAATTAATAACAATAAATACAAAATGATCAAAAGTCAATACATAAACACAATCATATATATATACGTATATCGAAGAAGAACAATAGCAAATGAACGAATTGAAAACGAAAAATCACCAAACAGAAACATGTCAAAAGTGAGAAATTTACAAGAAAAAAAATATCAAATCTATGATGATATTGGATCTACTTGCATAACTATTTCTACTATATCGTCATTTGAATCATTACTTTTATTACGACCTTCTCGATCAGATTTCTTGATAGTATCTTCTTTTAATTCAGATTTCAATCGTTTCTTTGGATATAATTTTGCATGAAAATCTTTAATACATGATGATAGATGTTCATATTGTTTTTTCACATTTATGTATTTATTATTTAGTTCTTTAAAACGTATATCAAATTGTTGTTCACGTGATGTTAATTTAGCATTAAGTAGAGCATTTTCAGTTTGACATTTACCTATGAACAAGAAATTTCAATTAGAAAAATAGATTTATTTGTTTTTGTTAGAAAAAAAAAGTACCTAAATCAATTTGTGCTTGTTCTAAATGATCTTTTATTATTTGCATTTCAAGTGCATTATTAGTTGAATGTTTTGCATGAGAATGACAATCCATTGGTTCTTCTTTTATTTTATCTTTAACTATTGTTTTTATAGAAGATGATACCGATGATGATGATGGTAATTGTTTTAATCGAGCTTCATATGATTCAACCATTGCTGCATATTCTGATTTGAGTTTATTTGTAAGAGCTTGTTCTGCTTCTGTACAAAAAAAAAAAAAGAAAAACCGTAGTAATTATTTAAAAAATAAAAAAAAAAACAGCACTCGTCAATTACCAAATTTTTCTCGTAAAACTTGAAATGTGTCATAAGCAGTTTTCGAATATGTTTGTGCTTCAAGTAATGATTTTTGAAGATTACCTATTTCATATTTAAGCGCATGATTTTCTTGAACTAGTTGATCATAATTCGTTGGCTTTGGGTCATTATTATTATTATTATTATTATTATTATTATTACTAGATAAAGATTGATTTTGTTGGGTTAATGACATTAAGCTTGGTGGTGTTTGTGTTGAACTAGAATTATTTGTATCTTGATGATAAGTTCGCATAACAACATGTACACCATTGATGGTATGATTACGATGATTAAGAATAGAAGAAACACTTGATGCTTCAGCAAATTTGATTAGAGCATCTAAAATAAGAATAATTACTTTGTGATTAGAAACAATTAATCGTTTAAGTTTTGACGAAACTTGTCATAGCATCCAATTATTCTTAGCTCAATCGATAGATTCAAAAATGTTATGACATTATCCAGAGTTCTTTTATTTCAGAAATAACATACGATTCAGTCGGGTTGGAATCAATACTAATAAAATAAACGATCATTACGGTTCATTTGTATTGTTTTTGTTCTCTTCTATACATAAAAGAGTGCACACGAGTGAAGAAATGAAATAACTTAATCAAAAATATTATCAAGTGTTGTAATAAGACTAAGCGTTCAATGGGTCGTAACTAACCGATGCTCTAGTAGTAACAAAACAGTTCTCTTATAAATATTAACGAAAATAATAAATTTATATCCATTTCTCTGTAAATCACTCTGATAAGTGTATATTATAACTACAAAAATATGAATCGATACTACGATTATTTGAATCTCACTGTGATAACTGTCTTCATTGTGTGAACTCTGAGCATAGATCACATAATCAATATTTGTATTCTTTCAAGGCAATGCATTTTTCCTCTGAAAATACAAAGCTAATTAATGGTTCGTCTATTTAGTGCAAGTATATTTTCTACGATAATTAGAAATTGTCATATCAAGCTAACAAATGTTTTCAAAATAAAATAGTCCTTTTTTTTGTAATAAGTAAGATAAAACAAATATTGATTCAATTTCATAGTGAAAATATATCCTTTAGTATATTATCCAATTAAATAAAATTTCTTTTCTCACTCAAGAAAGAAAAAACTTTAACAATAGATCGTAATGATCAATTTTAGCGGGAAAAAGGATATTCTAGAGTTGACAACATTATTATCGATATATGTAAGATAATAAAGAACTTACAAGGATCTTTATTTCGAGATTGAGTAGAAGTTTTAATTAAACATCGAAGAACAGTACCAAATTTTTTACAATAAGTAGTTAATACTGATTCAGATAAATTATTGAATTTAGTTATAACTACTGTTGATTCACGATCAAAAAACATATCTATAAACAACAACAAAAAAGAAAGTTACATCTATACTAGAAATAAATATATATTTAAATGTGCTATGTAGAGATAAACAGAAATAGATGCACGTAAAAAAAAAAAGTAAACTATGACATCATAGTAGAATGTGTCAGTTGATTGAATTCTTTTTATTCTTTTATTTATACCACGTGGTTACAGACAAATCCAACAATATGCATACATAACAATGAATGATGACGACAATTTTTGATATTAACATCAATCTCCTTTTTCGATTTAAATCATGAAATATTAAAACCAGATTGTTTATTATTGTAATTTACTATTACTAAATATATTGAAAGTAAATTTAAAAAGTGAAATAATTTATAATCTACTTTATAATCATTTATTTTGATTCGAGTTCGGTATGGACTATAAGACCAAATGCATCGATACATATTAGTTTTGTTAAGATCTACTAGCTATATTATGACGAACCGGAGGAATGACTCTATCACCACTCTCGACAATAATGCTTATTAAGCTACTTGTACGTTCCAGTCGTATTTATATCAGTAAAAACATAAAGAAAAACAAAGAAGAGAAATGAAGTGCCACAGTCCACAATCGTTTCTTATATATTATATCGTATTGTTGTTGATTGTGGACAGAAGCCTCCTGAGGTCATCGAGATTCTGGAGAAAGGATGAAGTGACTACTACGATGGTAGCAGTCAGACACATAGTAGATGGGGACAAGTGATACTTGTGCACGGACTAGTGAACAAAGATGAAGACAATCGTTTAGTTATGCTGAGGAAAAACGAAAATTTTCCAAGATCGGGCAATCAAATTTCACTTAAGATATCTGTAGTTGTTGAGAAAGAGTTGAAAATAGATGTAATGATGGAATAGAGTTGCGAATGAACTTGGCCGAACACAATCAAAACAATGCGAATGAAGAAGACATTTTATTGGAATTGATACGATCAAGAATTTTTCCCCTTTTTTTTTCGAATGATGAATCATTCGTCTACAAGAAAGAAATGTTCAATTATCGATTATGAGCGACATCTGTTTATTTCAAAAATTCTAATTTCATTAGAAAATTTTTGAATGGCATATTCTAATTGATTTGGTTTCTAATCTTATGAAATGTAAACGGATTCAAGTAGTTTAGAACATCATCAGTACCAATGTTTGTGAGTCTATTGAGATATGTGATAATATAAAAGAGAAATAACAAGTGAACAGCAACAAGGCAAACAAAAAGTTGAGTGCCGGACAATTTTGTTCGAAATGCAGAAATAAATAAGACGGATCGCATATCAGAGAATCGATTATCTTGAAAAACAATTATAATCAGTGTCAGAGGGACTGCACTAACAAACTATTTTGAACGATGCGCTTTACATCACGTTGATTGTCTGACTTCCATATGTACAACATTCCTTCATCGAGTTCTTCATTTACTCGTTCATCTTATAAAGATCGTCCTAAATAAGATGAACTGAAACAAATTGAGATTATAAGATGTGTTCGAAAGAAAATAAATTATGCATTGGTTTTATTTACTATAAAATTAAAAAGAAAGTTGTTTCATCTATATTATATAATCTTTTTTTAGACAATGTGTCCCGTGTTCGCCATTTATGTTAAAGTTTCATGATTGATTTAATGCAAGGTGTCTTGTATTTTGAAGTATACCTACAATTCAAAATTTGCCAATTTGAAAACAAATTCAGAACTTCAAAGTTATCAATATGAGGAAGCGGTTCCAACTAATAAATTTCTTTCTCAACAAAAACGACTTGATTGCTAATGATTGAGAATACCAATACAGAATATGAACAAGATCGTTAATCAATTTTCCAGTATATTTCGTTATAAACGGCAATAACTTAGTTGCAACAGTTCGTTCGTCATTGGTAAGATGAGAAAGAAGTCGACTTCATCTAGAGTATAACAACACACGGGTCGAGTGCCCATACTCAAGGCAAATATGAATAGGATACGGATATAAACAGTAACGATTTTAGAAGACACAAACTTCATTTTCAAATATACTATTCATAAAAGCACTTCAAAAAGTCGTGTTTTTAAGGCTACTATTTAATAATAATGCTCTTGATCACACAGTTTATTGGTTATTTTGTTTAAGTATTAAAGATGTGTCGCAGAAATGCAACCTACAAGTCGGGCGGGTACCCATGCAATACTCTAGCATCATTCTCAAGATAGACTAAACGAAGATGTCTCTAAGAGAGATTTGTCTTTTCAATTTATCTAAATCTCCTAACAATAACAATTCTTGGATCAAAGATATTGTTAATTTTATCCGAACTCTGAGATTTTTTTCGTCAAGTTAGAGCTTCGTCTCCTACATAACAGTATATGCTGCTAGCATTGTATAAATGATAAATGCTAATCATCAGTATTCGTTTCACAAACTGTGACACTAGTTAACAACTTCATTTTCATATATTGACAAGAACCTGTCAATGAATACGTCTATATTCCATCAGTTTTCAAAAACCGATACAACAATTGATGTAAGAGCTTATTACGGATGAGAGTTTTCATTGCCGTATTTTATTCTATCACTAACATTAACATATTCATAAATTGTATTTAAAAAAAATCTTCAATTATTTTAAATTATTAAGCAGAGTACAAATTTATCAAAACCCAAAAAATAACAATAATATTAGTTAGTTATAACTGTACTCAATAAACACAATGATATGTATACGCATATCGAACTACAAGCAAGAACAATGGAATAAAAAAGAAAAAGAACAACATATAGAAATATGTAAAAGATGAGAAATATACAAGAACAAAAAAAAAGTAAATTTATGATAATATTGGATCTATTTCCATTATATCATCATTTGAATCATTACTTTTATTACTACTTTCTCGATCAAATTTATTGATAGTATCATCTTTTAATTCAAATTTCAATCGTTTCTTTGGATATAATTTTGCATGAAAATCTTTAATACATGATGATAGATGTTCATATTGTTTTTTCACATTTATATATTTATTATTTAGTTCTTTAAAACGTATATCAAATTGTTGTTCACGTGATATTAATTTAGCATTAAGTAGAGCATTTTCAGTTTGACATTTACCTATGAACAAGAAATTTCAATTAGAAAAATAGATTTATTTGTTTTTGTTAGAAAAAAAAGTACCTAAATCAATTTGTGCTTGTTCTAAATGATCTTTTATTATTTGCATTTCAAGTGCATTATTAGTTGAATGTTTCGTATGAGAATTACAATCCATTGGTTCTTCTTTTATTTTATCTTTAACTATTGTTTTTATAGAAGATGATACCGATGATGATGATGGTAATTGTTTTAATCGAGCTTCATATGATTCAACCATTGCTGCATATTCTGATTTGAGTTTATTTGTAAGAGCTTGCTCTGCTTCTTTAAGAATAAAAGAACGATCAAAATAATGAATTAGGAATTAGAAAACAACAAACGATTAATTACCAAATTGTCCTTGTCGAACTTGGTACATATCGTAAACAGTATTATAATATAAATATACTTCAAATAGTAACTTTAGAAGATTATCTTTTTCCTGCTTAAGTGTATGATTTTCTTGCGTTATTTGATTATAACTCATCCGTGTTGTTTCATTATTATTCTCAGTGTTATTATTATTATTATCATTATTATTCTTGTTGTTACTTTTATTATTATTATTATTATTATTATTAGATTTAGTTCGATGTTGTTGGTTTAATGACACTAAGCTTGATGATGTTTGTGTTGAACCAGAATTATTTGTATTTTGATAATAACTTCGTATTACAACATGTACACCATTGATTGTATGATTACGATGATTAAGAATAGAAGAAACACTTGATGCTTCAGCAAATTTGATTAGAGCATCTAAAATGATATTGATTAGAAAGTTTAATCTAAAGGATTGTAAAGGAATTTGTCATAGCATCAAATTATCGTTAGTTCAATTGATAGATTCTAAATCCTTAAGAAATAATCTGAAATGATTTCATTTCAACATTGAAATAAGCTTTAGCTCAAATTGGTGGGAATAATAATAATCCAACAATAATCGATCATAATGGTTCACCTTCAATTTATTTTCTTTGCTTACATGGTCTCTTGGTAGATGTTTAGTTTTTTTCTTCTTTCTTCTATACACAAAAAAGTAGACACGAATGGAGAAATGAAATAGATTAAGCAACAACATTAAAAAGTGTGGCAGTTGGACTAAACCTTCAATGACTCACAACTAGACGGTGTATTAGTATTAACAAAAACATTCTCTTATGAGTTTTAACAAAGATAATGAATTTACATCCATTTCTCTATAAATCATCTCGATGAACATATTTATTATTCAAGCCGTAATCGAAATTTCTACTGTTTGAATCTAACTAACGGTGTCTTCATTGTGAAAATGCAGAGTATACAACCCATAGATCTATATCCTTATCAAATGTCTTGACAGTAATCAATATGTGCATCCTTTTAAGGTGATGTATTTCTAGTCTCTATTGTCTCTTTCAAAATACGAAGCTAATTAATAGTTCGTCTATCTAGTGCAAGTATATTTTCTATGATACTTCGAAATTGTCATATCAAGCTAACAAATGTTTTCAAAATAAAATAGTCCATTTTTTTGATAATAAGATAAAACAGATATTGAATAAAATGTTTCAATTTCATAGTAAAAATATATCCTTTAGTATATTATCCAATTAAATAAGATTTCTTTTCCTATTCAACAAAGCGAAAACTTTAACAACAGATTTTAATGATCAGTTTTGGCGAGAAAAAAAGAATATTGTAAAGTCGACATTATTATTAATATATGTGAAATAATAAAGAACTTACAAGGATCTTTATTTCGAGCTTGCGTGGAAGTTTTAATTGAACATCGAAGAACAGTACCATATTTTTTACAATAAGTAGTTAATACTGATTCAGATAAATTATTGAGTTTAGTAATAACTACTGTTGATTCATGATCAAAAAA